CCTGAGGCTGCAGTAACTGAAAACACAAGCTGGCAATTTGATTATTGGGTCTGAAATCATCATGAGTTGGGAGGTCAAGCCATTTAGCAATGATTCAGTCTGTGTTCTGTGCAGCTGCAAAATTGCCTGACAAAGAGAAATTAGTAAATGTTTAATTGATTGCAGAAATAATTTTCTATAGAGTAAAATGTTCTCAAGGATGTTGTGTAGTGGCTTGACCTCGGGTCTGGTGTTATTTGTATTTTTGTTGCACGTGGGAGTAAAAGAAAAAAAGAAATTTGCCCTCCTGGAATGTCTTATGGTGATTTTCCACCAGCAATTAGAGGGAATGACTGGTCATTGACTGGGAGAAGAAAGTTCAGCCAGAAGAAGCCCCATAAAGCAAACCTCAAAAATATTTAAGAAACAATGAGTCCAAGAGCTAAGAAATAGAAGGTTGTAGGAAAGGGGATTTTTAATAATCCTCTCCTCCCTGGTTGCATTTTTAATTTTTTAGCCTCTCTTTGTTTTACCCAAGCCCAGAGACACCTCGGTGACTTAATCATAAAGTGCTTTGAAGTCTGGGCAGAACGTCCAGCGTGGGCTGGGTTGAGCTGACGGGGAATGCACATGTTTTCAGAGAGCAGGAGATTTGTTTGCCAGTAAAGCACAAGAAATGAGTGCCCTGGAACTTCCCCACCTACACATCAGCCCCTGCTCTCCCTCCCTGACAAACTCCCTATAGGGAGTCTCTGTCCTTTCAGGGGGGTCCTGTGGTGTCCCTGTCCTTGGGGGGATCACTGTGGGATCCTTGTGCTGGCACTGGGGTCCCTGGTCTCACGTGGGGGGTCCCTCTACTTGTAGGGCTTCATTGCTGCTTCCTCATTCTTGCAGAGGGTCTAAACCCACTGTAGGGTGTCCTTGTCCTCGTATGGGCTCCCTGTCCCTGGAGAAGCATCCCTGCCCTCTGAGGGGGCCCACAGGGGACTCCAGCAGATGAAGGGAGCAGGGTGTGCCTCCCACAGGGAACCACATCCCAGGGCATGGCCCTCCTGGGGACAGCCAGGATGGAAGGGGACAAGGAGCCAGCTGAAAACTCTGGTCTGTGGGACTCCTGGGCAGCCCCAACACAGACCAACAGCTGCTGCAGTCTGGAAAATCCCACACAGCCAGATGGAAGGGGCAGTGGAGTGGGACAGGCAGGAGGAGGTCACTGTGAGGAGAGCAAGGAGGAATTAGCAGGAGGTGAGATCTGCAGAGAATGAAATGCTGAACGTGGCACTGTCAGGCTGCTGCCAGGGGTAAAATATCCCCTTCCTCTCTTTGGGCAAGAGACTGGAGGGGACCTGTCTGTAAGTGGAAGAAATCAGCCCCAGAATCCCAGAATGGTCTGGGTTGGAAGGGACCTTAAAGCTCATCCAGTTCCACTGCCCTGCCATGGGCAGGGACACCTTCTACTAGCCCAGATTGCTCCAAGCCCCATCCAACCTGGCCTTGGACACTTCCAGGGATCCAGGGGCAGCCACAGCTCCTCTGGGCAACCTGTACCAGGGCCTCATCACCCTCACAGCCAGGAATTCCTTCCCAATATCCCATCTAACCCTGCCCTCTGGTAATGGGAAGCCATTTCCCCTTGTCCTATCCCTCCATGCCCTTGTCAAAAGTCCCTCATCCTAGAAAGAGGATCTCATTCCTATGGCAAGAGCCAGCTCAGACCTGGAGCATCACTCAGCCTGAAAACAGTTCTAGAAGGGCTCAGCATCTTCATGGGCTTGCTGTCCCTCTCTCTCAAGTCAAAAAGTCACACTCTGTCACTTGGGGAAGTTGCCATCCCATCCCTGCCCCCTGGGGAAGTGCCAGGGGCTGGACCACCTGAGCACAGCCCTCTGCATCAGCTCCTGCCTTTCCATCCCTGTGGAATTGCTGCTGCTGTGGGACAGTGGCAGCAGCTGGGCTGGAAGGAGTTGGCAGCTCTCCCTGCAGACAGGGACTAACCCCGGGGGGCTGCAGGAACCTGTCACGCTCCAGTCTCACCTGTTCTTAAAAGCTTAAGGTGGAGAACATTTCCCACCTTCCTACAGAGTTTTCCCTGCTCAAGGATTCTTTATGCATCCAATTTCCTGTCCATTCCCTCTCTGTTATATCCCAGTAGGTTCCTTAAGGCATTGAGCTTATTGAGCTTAGAATCATGGAATGGTTTGGGTTGGAAGGGACCTTAAAGACCATCTCATTCCAACCCCCTGACATGGGCAGGGACACCTCACACTATCCCAGGTTGCTCCAAGCCCTGTCCAACCTGGCCTTGAACACTTCCAGCAATGAGGCTCCTACAGTCCCACAGGCAAAACTGGGCTTTGTTGGATGGTACCCAAGGGATTTGGTGCTTGCTTGGCTCCTAGTGTTGCTATGTTCCCAAACCTGAATCTCCTCTTCCCAACAGGAAGAAGACTCCAGTGGGATACGGGATCCTGAGGACGTACTTTGCCGCCGTGCCTTCGCTGCCCGTTCTCGTCTGGGTGAACCTCCACGCCGGGGGTCAGGTTTTCCAGTTCCCACCAGAGCAGTCCATCACTGAAGTGAACATCTTGTCTTGGCTGGAGAAGCTCCAAGCAGGACTGGAGACTCCCAGCTGTAAGTGGACACAGGTTTATAACGTTCCTAAGCACACACTGTGAGCTCCAGTCTGTTTATGAGAAGACACTACATGCAATAAATTGTCTGCCCTGGAATTTAATGATGGAAAAACTAGCTCTGCTAGCTAGGGCTGGAGAAGTACAAATAGTTCAGCCAGGAGACAATACCCACACTCACAAGTTTGCTCTGGGACTGTTTAATGTTCAGAGCCAAACGTGAATACTTGGGAATCAACATCTTTTCCCTGTGAAAATCCCCAAACGTGGCTGTGCTCTCCTGTTGCTCCAAACAGACCTGAAGCAGAGCTTGCTATTAAAACATCTCCTGACTCCCAGTTGTCAGTGTAAGAAACAGCTGATCTTCAGGCACCTTCCAGCAATTTTTTTTTTGGATAGGAGAGGATAAGGAAGCTGGTGTCTTGCTGTGGTCTTTGGGACATAAATGGTTGGCACGTTCTGTGAAGCTTTTCACTGCCTTGATCAGCCTGAGGAAGCTTTGGAGGAAGGCAGCATGGATATGCCTTCCTTGACAAAGCTGGAGAGGGACTTTGGACAAAGGCCTGGAGGGACAGGACAAGGGAGAATGGCTTCCCATTGAGAGAGGCCAGGGTTAGATGGGACACTGGGAAGGAATTCCTGGCTGTGAGGGTGATGAGGCCCTGGCACAGGTTGCCCAGAGAAGCTGTGGCTGACCCATCCCTGGAATTACTCAAGGGCAGGTTGGATGGGGCTTCGAGCAACCTGGGCTAGTGGGAGGTGTCCCTGCCTATGGCAGGGGGTCAGAACTGGATGGACTTTAATGTCCCTTCCAACCCAAACCATTCTAGGACTCTGTGATTCTTATGTGTTATGAGTAACCACAAAATGCTACAGGGATCTTGGGAATTGCTGGCTGCCAGCCTGCTCCAGGCTCTGGAAAGGCTGTGAGGTGACTCCACTTATATTTAAATATTTTAAAATGAGTCTTTCAGAGCAAATGTTTCCAAATGCTGGCGTCAACTTGGTGGGGTAGGGTGTGTAGGCTGTTGCTGGAGCTGAAGACACCATGCTGATCTAGTTCTCCTGTGAGAACCCCATGAGCCAGCCCTCCTCCCACTCCTTTTTCCATTGCCACTGCTGAGGACACCTGGCTGACATGTAGGTCTCTAGGT